AGTCATCTGCAAACATAAGACATTTTGAATGTTCGAATAAAGTGGGATGTCATTCACATACAAATTAAAAAGAAGAGGTCCTAAAATGGAACATTGGGGACGCCAGATTGGACTGGAAGCCAACCCGACGTCTCCCATCAACGACTACTCATTGCTGTCTACCATCTAAAAAATCTTTAAACCATGATAAAAGATTAGGGCAAAAGCCATATTGTTTTAATTTAAGAATAAGTAAATTATGCGGAACTAAATCAAATGCTTTCGAAAAATCGGAATAAATAATATCACATTGCCGCCTGTCATTAATAGCCTCGTAAACGGAAGTCAGGAGACAAGCTGGATTTGTCTCACACGACCTGCTGGGCACGAAGCCATGCTGGCAAGGAGAAATGGCAATAGAAACGTGAGACCAAAATATGATTAAACATAATTTTTTCAAACAATTTTGAGATGGTAGACAGCAGAGAAATAGGTGTATAGTTAGTTACTGACTTCTTTGAACCTGATTTGTAAATTGGAACTATGTTGGATTGTTTCCAGATAGAGGGAAACTTTCCAGTAGTCAGGGATTTGTTGAAAATATTGCAGACAGGAACTGAAAGAGGCTTGGCACACACCTTTAAAACATGGTTACTCAGTTCATCGCACCCAGATGCTTTATAAGTTATTACAGAAGAAAGCGCTTTATAAACTGATTCTAGCTGAATAACTGGCAATGCCAATATATCTAGTGAAGCTTCAGGGAGAGCTAAATGCTGGTCAGTTATTGACAAATCTTTTTGAAAAACAGAATGAAAATAAGAGTTAAACAGGACGACTTTGTCCTTAGCATTTTCCGCGACCTTGTCCCCGTAAGTCATTACAGAATGATAAGAGGACGACTTGGTTTTTGTCTTCATCCAAGTCCAGAAACGTTTTGGATTTGTTTTTACGTTGTCGGACAAGGTACGAATATAAAGAGAATATCTCTTTTTTGCCAAAATTTTAAATTGTTTCCTGGCTGTATTAAATTCGTTTTTATACTGTATTAGTTCATATTTTTTCCACATTCGAAAAAAATGTTCCTTCCGCCTCAACACGGCTCTAACTTCATGGTCGAACCAAGGCGGCATTTTGCGCCTGAATGTCTTAATGGGGACAAGGTCACGGAGTGCGGCGTCAATTAAATCATAAAATAGAGTTAAACTTTCATTAACATCATAACTGGAAACAATAATGTCAAAAGGAATGTTTTCAAACAGACTAATAAGGTCTTTGTCGTTAATTGCTTTGAAATTATATGATTTTCTACATTTATTATAACAAAAATTAGTTGTCCGAAAATTTTTAAAAAATTCAATAGAAGAATGATCAGACTGGAAGATATCTCGACCAATAACGATGTCGGTAATAAGTTCACATGAGCTACATAAAATTAAATCAAGAATGTTATTATTGCACGTAGGGTTCATATTACATTGAATGATATTAGACTAGAAATTAAAAAAAATTAAGACTAGAAATTAAACTATTTTAAAGATGTCTTTCAGATCTAGCAGCAAGTACTGTATATTTACCACTTCCAGAATGGAATGATGACGTATAAATGAAGTCACTTTATGAGGCTTAGGGTGTGGAACTGTTTTTTTTTTAAATTTTATTTTTTTATTTTATAGGGTCATCCCACTTTTATTCATAAACTAAAGATACATAATATAAGTTGTATATCATAAATCATCATAGTGTGGAGCTGTTTTTATTCAGGAAAAAGCCCTTCAGAAACAGGGTATGAGTCCAGGATCTTGGGATTGGAAAGCAAGGACAACAACCAAGCTACAGACATTCTCCATCTCCATTTGTATAGTGCAAATATTCATTTGTTTAGTACACTATAAGTTGTATAATGCACATATCCATATTTATAGTATCCATATCAATTTGTATAGTGCACATACCCATGTAGTGTACATATCAACTTGTATAGTGCACATATCTATATGTATTATAGTACACTATCATTTTTGTTTAGTACACATATCGATTTGTTTAATGCACTAATAATTTATAAATTAATAAGAAATGTTAAAGATGCTTAAAAAAAAGAACAGAAAAGTGTACAACCATATTTTAAAAAATGTTTAAATTTAACCATAAAACTTGCATACATTCCACACAATAATTAGTACAACAAATTACGATGCCACTTGCAAGCAAGCATTGTGAGAAAGTAATGTAAGAATTTACAGTAGTCATTATAAATTCAGCATCCACCACTAAAGCAGGAGAACAGAGGGAGTAATATTAGTATTGAGAATGGCTGAGATGATGAGACTGCTGAGGATGTCGGAGTGATAATACAGTTGTGGGAAAGACCAATAATGATGAGAAGATTTGAATAGTGAGGAAACAATGTCCAGACAATAGAGAATAAAAATCAATGATCAGAGTGTACATGACATAAAAGGAAATAAATAATTAAAGGGAAAAAATGAAAAAAGAGAAAGCAATAAATGTCATCACATACGTGATAATAATGCTATTACATAAAATTATGCAAATAAAATCCATCTACTTTTATGGATTATAATGCTATTAATAAAATTTACAGATTATATGCAACTTCATAGAATAATTAAGAGTGTCATCTAACTCGTACCCATGCCAACTCGTACCCATGCCAACTCATACCCAGTTTAGCGAACCTGTACCCGAATTCAGGTCAACTTGTGCCCAACATTCTCACGTGTATTCATATTTTTGTTGTAAAAATATAACAAGATCTAATGTTAAATACTGAAATTTTAAACGAATTGCACTAAACTCAAGTGCCAATCTATGGCTCTGACACTAATCACTACTATTGTAATTGCGCCCCTTGTTATATTTTCGGTGCCTTGACGATGATCATAAATTTATACATTTCATTCCTGTTGTATCAAATCTTGGAATAAGTTTGTTTTTAATAATATAGTTTAACATGATTACTATCAAAATAGATAATACTCTTTGCATAATGTTTGAAATACAATGGTAGATCTTACGGGCTAGCCAAGTATGGGTATGCGTAAGCCAAAATTGGGCATGAGTTGTGGGTACAGGTTTGGAGTGTGTACGAGTTAGCCTGTATTCATAATTAACATAATGCAGGTAGCCAGAAGGAAAAAATAAAAAAGCATGTGGAATATGACTTTAAAAATGTCAATTGGTTAATTTTGTATTCAAACTATATACAGACCCTTTTTATAATTACTCAATTTTTAAAAATAATAATAATAATAATAATAATATTTATTTGACATTCAAGTTATATCACTTGCCAGGAAAGAGAATAGGCAATTATCCGGAACATAGAGTAAATAAAAAATGTTACGAACACCAAAACAGCTTATTCCTTATGATAGTAGAAGGCTATGTTTAAAACTATGGCCTTTACAGCCCAAAATAGACATGTTTCTGTTGTCAACAACTAGCATTATAAAATGATTGCACACCTGCAACTTGAATATATAAATGTGAACTTAATATTTTGATACATCAATTTACGAAATCTAAAAATGCATTGGCTTAAGCCACTCCTTTTAATGGTGCTGCATGAAAATGTTGGTAAGTACGGTAGTAATAATAACAACATCAACAATAATAATAATAATAATAATAATAATAATAATAATAATGATGTACATTTGTATAGTACTGAAAGGTCCACTGATTAATCTCAGATAAGAAAGTATAATACATACTCCAAGTATTGAAATACACGCCATCATGTTGGGATTCAATATTTCGACATTAATTATGTCATCATCAGGATGATGACATAATTAATGTCGAAATATTGAATCCCAACACGATGGCGTGTATTTCAATACTTGGAGTATGTATTATACCTTCTTGTATAGTACTGGTATCCATCTCACAAGATATTCTTGGCACTTGATATGTGGACTAGTAGCTCCTTAAGTGACATTTTTCACCCTTAGTAGTCCCTTTGTGTTTCTGCTACCCGGTAAACTGGTACCAGTAACTCTGATTGTCCAGCAAAGAGGCTGTCTGTAACAGTGGACTGGGGTATCCCCTTAATCATCTTAAATGGTGTACTGGGTTCAGCACATGAGACAATGTGTACATTGGGCCTACGGTTTATAGTCCTTTATCCAAGAAGGCTTGTTCTACAGTGCTGCCAACGAGCCTGCTGCTCGAACCAGCACCTATATTATGGATGTGGGTTGTGGCGCCTCTGCCCTAACCGCTCGGCTAATTGACTCATTATGGTCACCAGCCTAAAATTCCACTACATTGTTGCTGATGAAATTTTGGGTGGTCTCTGAGCGATGCAATTCCTCGATGATGTAATCATATGGTAACTTGTCAAGATTTTCTGGTCAGTGCTCCAGCCTCAAGTCACCAGCCTAAGACTACTGGTGTCATGCAATAATGCAGTCATTGGTTTATGCCAAGCCTTACCGGCCTATGATCACCAGCTTAAATCACTGGCCTTGATACAATCATGCGGTCACTGGCCTAAGTTTACCAGCTATGATCACCAGCTTAAATCACTGGCCCTAATGCAATCATCATGCGGTCACAGGCCTAGGTTTACCAGCCTATGTTCACCAACTTAGAAATACAGGCCTAATACAATCATGCAGTCACTATTAAAACTAGATTTACCGGCCTATGTTCACCAACTTAGGAATACAGGCCTAATGCAATCATGCGGTCACTATTAAACCTAGATATACCAGTCTAGGTTCACAAACTTAGGAATACAGGCCTAATGCAATGCAATCATGCGGTCACTGGCCTAGGCTTACCGGCCTACGTTACCAGCTGAATACAGGTCTAATGCAATCATGCGGCCACTGGCCTAGGCTTACCGACCTACATTACCAGCTGAATACAGTCTAATGCAATTATGCGGTCACTGGCTTAGGTTTTCTGGCCTATGTTCACCAACTTAAGATCATTGGCCTATGATTACCCGTTAATTATTAAACCGTGCCTGCATTTGTGTTGCTATTGACTGAATAGCCAATGAAATCTTCTCCTTCATTACTGTCGTTTACTAAGACCTCTTCAAAATCAGTGCTAAAAACATCAAAAGCTGAGATACATAAAAAACCAAAATTACAGTTATGTTTTAAAAAGTTATATACAGTATCATCATTGGTAATTTTTGTTCTCGTAAATAATAATATATTTATATACAAAGGAATCAACATACAGAAATATCAGCTTCTTCTTTATTGTAAAGAAACCCAAAGTGAAACATTAAAGTTGCCATTCAAAAACAAGGAAAATCAATTTTTCGTAGATTTTTATCTAATGGAAATACAATAGCAAATTGATTTTCAAAAATGTTTAATACATTTGGTCTACAAATTTTCCAAAATTAGGCCATCAATTCGATCCAATATTTGCTAAAATCAGGCTACAATGGTCCATAAATGAAATTAAAATTTAAACTTGTTGACTCAAATGTAATAACAAAAACGTCACTGTTGGATGTATACATCACCAGTATACTTAGATATAGTAAATAAAAAAAATGTATTGATTCTCTTGCACACAAATAATGAAAATGTACATCACATAGAAATGCACAAATAGCAGCAATGGAGTCTAATATGCAACCTGGTTCTCTGTGGACTGCGGTAGCATCACAGCTTTTATGCTGAACATAATTTGCTTAAAATTCAGGGATTTGTGGTAGGCTTGACAAGAGCATTAATCAGGATTGAATCCATCCATACCAACAATAGACTCTGACAGCACTCGCAATAATATACCTACACTCTACTGTACATTTCATTTATCCAATATCAGATCACATCCAATGTCAACCATTATGTTCCTTGAGTAAAATATATTGTAATTGTCACAGAAATGTTTAACATTAAATTTTGAATGAAGATGGACAAAACATAAACCCCTAACCATCCAGTTAGAAGCAAAAATTCTTGCCCATTGGTCACAAGAAATGTCTCTTATGCAAACAACACATTTAAAAATGTATTTTAAAATTGACTGTTTTACCAGATATAAAACAAAATCAAAATTCAAAGGAAATCTAATTTTAATACTTAAATTAAAGGATAAGGTTGTTTGTAAAGTAATCTTAAGGAGTGTAGAGCCAGCAGGCAGTCTTACTTCTAAGTCTTGGAATAAAATTGCAGCAAGCAAGTTATATACTAACTGTAATCTTATCTAAGAACTTGTATTATGCATGGCATTATCTTTACAATCCTGATGTGTATCAGGAATTACATTCTTTATTTTTAGATTGTAACTTTGTATAGATATTTCAAAATAGTTTCTGTAGTCTATATGAAATACTTATATTATATTTTGTATTATAATTCTATTACAAAAATGTAGTTGGTGTTTTTGAATAAAGTACATAGCTAAACATACAATCATATATTGTAAGTAATTATCTTTGGTTCAAGTACTGTATTATAGTATATAAACATGACTTTTGTTGCACTTAAACCTAACTCGTTCACAACATTCCTTTTTTTGCATTTCTAATAGGGATATCCTTTCTGTTTTATTAAGGGAATTGTAAGTTTAAACATAAATTAAAGAAATTTTGGTTAAAGTTGTTCTTGCTTTGTTCCTTCAAATGAACTCCACAAAGTAATTAGGATTTTGTCACTTATTCTATTTGTTCATCATGGTTTTACTGGGACCTAAACAGAAAGTAATTCTTTAGTGAGGATTAATTGGATCATCCTGAAGCTATTCACTCCTTTAAAAAATAATTTAATAACACAGGGAAAACATTTGCCTTGCACACAGTGTCTGAAATAAAATATGATAGTTGGACCAATCAAAGAGGTACATTAGAAATGGTATTTAAAGATTTGAGATTATAGTTTCCCCTGAAGTATTCCATCACCTATTTGGGGACAGTGATCTTGGGCAGCATCTACTATTCTAGTTTCTTCAGGTTTTTTTCTGTTTCGTATCTAGTAATAAATTTTATGTGAATAAATAATAATGTAGATATAATGTAGATAATAGAGATATAATAAAGTAGTTCTAAGAATCCAAACATACCTTTTGATTTCATAGTTTGGAAGTGTGTGAAGTATAATAGACAAAACAACTACTACATAGTGTACACTTTATGAATGTTTAATTTTAATGCATTTTACAATCCAATAATGAATAACAGACTAATAGTTTAATTACTTTCTTAGAAACATAAGTTATATCATGTGTAGTAACATGAAAATAGATTGGTGCTTTTATGCACTTTACATCAAATTATATAAAAAAAATGAGCAAGAAAAATTTGGCTGACTTATGAATCCAAAATTGACACACTATAATTAATATACTGTATGCATAGGCCTACATAAACATTAACTCATTATTTTTTTGATTGACTTAATAAAGTTCTTATGAACTACGGAAGAAGTAAGGATGGTATAAGATAGGAAAAGGTGGCGATCCATGTCAGCCAAACTGCTTGAGGACACCTACAGGTAACAGGTACAAAATTTCCTTAATAACAACATATACATTTATTCTCAGTGTGGTAATTTTGCACAATAAAAATATAATTGTTGTTGTTGTTGCCATCAGAATTATTGCTATTTGTATCGTTATTATTATTCCACATTTCTTTATTTTATCTGTGTATTTTATATTTGTTTGAGAACCCCTCAATATGAGCTCTCCATTAATGGTGAACTCCACAAACTTTATCTTCATTAAATAAAGTTCAAATAAATAGATAATTTAAATTTTAAACAGAAAAAAATAATTACAATATACAAAAAGTTGTTTACAACATGCTAATACAGACCAAACAAAAAAAATTAAATATCTATATAGCAAATTAGCTAAGTACTTTATTTTAATTGTAAAATAGTTTTTAATTCCATCATTGCTTGAATAAACATAGCTTACTGTTATTAGGTAGACATTATGCCAGTAATATTGATATTTTTATCATAAAAATATATTTTATACTATTTCCTTTGCTCTCCCTTTATTGTATTTGAATGAAAACTGGACAAATGTAAATTAAGCAAAAAAAAAAATAAATAAAATTAATATGAGCTGAATTTATATCCATTAGTGAAATGTTCAGTGTTTTCATATCCGATACAATAAAAATCTAGCTGCTGCGGTTGTCAATTTTAGAGCTGAATAACAAACTATTTCAAATGTAATAACCTCTTATTAATGTTTTCTTAACTTTTTTTTAGTAAATGTAAAATAACACTGTACTGATACTTAAGCATTATATAAACAAAATAATTGTTTAACAACCATTTTTATGTCAGAGTCACTTTTCAAGATATAATAAGTTTGCGCTGAATTGTAGAAATTAAAATATAGAGAGCTCAGGCTGTTTTGGGTCTGTCTCTTTAAACATGTTTTAAACCCCTATTCATAAAGGGTGCAGAGTTTGCATCAACAGAGGGCAGTGTTTAGATCAACAGAATTGTCTTAAGATAGTATAATACATACTCCAAGTATCGAAATGCACGCCATCGTGTCTTCAATATTTCAACATTAATTATGTCATCATCAGGAATGAATTGTCTTAATGTGTCTCAATGCAGTGAGGCATTGAGTTATAAAATAGAAATTCATGTAACAATGCTAACCTATAAACATGTTGAAAATGTTACAACATCCTGAGGATTACACTTTGTGATTGGCTGTCATGCAGTGTGTTACATCTTTAAAGAAATCTTTTTGAATAGATTGTTTCTGTGTCTAACACTGTACACTTGATTCTGCCCTTTAAATTAAACATGCTTCAAAAATGTTCACCAAAAATTAAATACAAATTACAATGCTTTGTAAAAGCAATTCCAAAAATAATTAATAAAAAAAGAATAGAAAATAATTTTAAGTATTTAATATTTTTATTAACAATGATGTTGTTTATGAAATAATAACATGTTGTGGTTGTTGGTCTTACAATGTCTTTGTTATAAACTATTTGTGCCTGCGATTCTACTTTAAGAGTACAAAATCGGCAAACATAAACTACGTCAAATGCTAATGTAATTTTCATTTGAATTACTTATGAATAATGCAAATTGAATCATGAATAATTCTAATTTTCATACTGAATAACAAATTACATAAGACTTCTATTATATTTCAATGCAATAATGACACATGTCACATTTACATTATTTTCTACCATTTAAATTGCAATGAATTTTATATAAGCATTATTTCCTTCTCACGATTAAAAAAGTATATGAGCATGATTGATACGGAAAAATAGATATCTAAATATAATATATTAATACCCAGTGTAGATAATAACAAAGTATTATTAATAAGTAAAATAGATTCATTTTATTGGAATATGATGTTCAATCTTACCACAGGTCAAAGGTCATTAACACATTAACATAGGTTCCTTATATCAATCAGAAAGTTGTTACATTAATGAAAATGTAAGTCATTCAAAATTTATCCAGTCGACTATAGGAAAATCAATACACATAGGCGAACAGTAGGCCTACTCACAGTAAGAGTAGAAAGGTTATAAAGTTCAAACTGTATCTTGATACTGGAAACAATCCATAATGAAGGAGATTAAGAAACAGATGTTTGGTATCCACATGAATAAAACATGAACAATTAAAATAAGCATCAGGGAAGATACTACATTCAAAGAACAGAATTATTTCATCACAGAAATGAAACTGTTTTCAAAAAAGAGTATTCCAAGTTTGAGGGAATATTCAATATAGATCAAACAGTCACCATACAACATATGTGCTAATAGGAGTGGGTGCTGAAGAGAGGCCCTAGCTGAATGACCAGCTTTTTGAGACCGCAAAGTGCGGTTTTCCCATAGTATGGTACAGTAGCAAGTATTGATAAATAAGGTACTGTATGCTTATTAAGGAAAATATATGTATTAATGATGTATGTTTAATTGTATAATTGAAGAAAAATGAAATAATGAATAACATAACCACCCTCTATATCATGAGTATGATAACTGGCTAAGGTCAGTAAGGCATCTTAGATGCACTCAGTGTAGAACCAATCAGCATTTCAAATCATTTATCCCCTACTCCATTCACACCTAAAATGATAGCTGCAAATAGTCTA